TCAGCTGCTTCCCCCAGCACTGATCGCATAGAATGACAGTTCCAGTCCAGGAAGTGTCATCATATATGTCACTTTCCGGTCTGTGGACAGGAGGGAGGCTGAGCAGACAGAGGTCCGCTGAGCTCCTTTCCCAGCAACACAAGCTGTGACAGCACTGGGCCATGGCAATGGGGTGGCACGGGGGGCGGTACATTGTGGCAGTGGTTGTGGCAGCTGCTTGTATCACTTCCACATGAAAGCCAACAATTGACTAAAATAGAACATGTTTTTAGCACTGTAAAAATATTACCACTTCCACCCTATCCTGGTGCCCTAAGGGGGCTGCTTAAGATGCCTTATGGTAGCACCAGCCGTGCACCCATGATACCTGTGATATAGAGACTCTGGCATTGCATTACTTTGAGATTGTGAAGCAAGCACCTTGTCGCTGATCTTCAAGTGTTAATTGTTATTTCCACTGAACCAAATAATAGCTGTGCCTTTCTTCCATCTTGGGTGCTAATCAATTTCCCCCACCTACAAGTCTTTCATTGTCTCCTGCCTGGAAATGCTGCTTCCTTTAAAGTTCTCTTCCACCCTCTCCTATGCCCCCAGCATACATTTTTTTATACTTACCTTTTTTGGAAACTTTCAGGCTGAGCATATGACATGGAGGATTATATCACTTTTCAACTCTTTTCCAGTGTTGGGCAGTCCTCAGAGATGTAGAGAATGTCGCTGATGTGATAATGTCAGTACTGTTTTCCACATCATTGTACTGTAAGTGCAAGGTGCTGTGGTGATGCTCCCAGGGAGCAGGTCGATGATGCTCTGCACTCTAGGAAGTGGGGGGAGCGCATAGGCTCTGGTGCAATAAATCTTTAATAAAGAAAATATTAACGGTTTATTAAACCAGAGCCTGTGCGCTTTCTCTTTTTTGTTATGTTCTACAATTTCTGGTTTCCACTCTGGGAAACATCCCGTTTACTGTTTCAAGGTTTTAACTTTGGACTCATTATTGCAGGTTACCCTTGGTGCTACCGCAATTGCAAATTTTTATGTCAGGAAGTCATTTAATAATGCTGAGTATCTGTTAACCAGAAGAGGCCTGAATCGCAAAACAAGTGAGTTTCCAAGGGATCCAAGGGACAGCACCAGAGAGGGGGTGAGTAGTGTAGTAAGAGTTGCAATTTTATTTTTTGAACTATTGGGCTACTATTTAAAAAAAAAAAAAATAAACTACACTTTAGCTTTGTTTTGTACATTCAATAAACTGGTTGTAGTCAGTTTATACTAAATTAAAAAGACTGATACAATAAACTAATTTAAATTGCGGCGACTCACACAGCCCATACAAATACCTTGAAAGACAGTGAAAGCAAGGTTGCCATCATTACACAGGATGCTGCTGAAGACATTTCATTGTTTGTATCAAGCTGAACGTTGTGAAATCTTTTATTTTATTTTCCTTCCAAATATTGCATAAAAACCTGAAACAGCAAAGAACTTTTTTTCTTCCCCAACATACACTTATGTTTTGCCTCCTATTTATAAGACATTTAAGGATTAACAGACATATATTTATAAAATGCTACACATTTGCTAATCCATTATTAACATTTTTACAGTCATGCACCATGTTTACACGTATACGCTGGAGAGATTATACTAATTAGAGGAAATATTAATTACAATACAAGGAAATGACTTGGATGTCCTGATCCCTTTTAAGAACTGGACAACATAACAGGCAGTTATTATAAACTGAGTTAATGGAAATATAGCAATGACCTGACTACTGAGCAGAGCACTTCATGTACAACATTACTTGATATAAATTGTGCAACTAGCTTAATATATTTTGATTCAGTTGCTGCTTTCTTTCCACATTCTAATCTTACTTTCTATAAATTAGAATCAGAAACCCTTTATTATTGTACAAAAGCTTGAAATTTGAATGTCACTTCTATGTAATATGATACCTTAGACCAGAGGTCTCCAAACCTTTTAGTATGATGACCATGACATATTTTTTTACAGATGTTTGCAAGCCAAATAAAAAAATCAGTTTTATAAATAAATACATGAAATTTAAATGAATGAATGTGTCTGTGTGAGACCTGTGTGCAATCACAGTGAGCCACATTGAGGATACTCTACTGACTCTAGCTGCAGGCAGAATAGCATCTTGTAGCAAGCCTAATTTGGCCCATGGACCATAGTTTGGAGACCCTTCCATAGACACGCAAAACACAGCATAACTCACAAAATCCACAATCACAATCCAGAAAAATTAATTAATGAATAATATAGAAAGTATTTAAAATATTAACCTGTTCATGCCGAGAGTATGTATACAGTGGGGATCGAAAGTTTGGGCACCCCAGCTAAAAATTTGTATTAATGTGCATAAAGAAGCCAAGGAAAGATGGAAAAATCTCCAAAAGGCATCAAATTACAGATTAGACATTCTTATAATATGTCAACAAAAGTTAGATTTTATTTCCATCATTTACACTTTCAAAATAACAGAAAACAAAAAAATGGTGTCTGCAAAAGTTTGGGCACCCTGCAGAATTTATAGCATGCACTGCCCCCTTTGCCAAGCTGAGACCTGCCAGTGTCATGGATTGTTCTCAATCATCGTCTGGGAAGACCAGATGATGTCAATCTCATAGGTTTTAAATGCCCAGACTCATCTGACCTTGCCCCAACAATCAGCACCATGGGTTCTTCTAAGCAGTTGTCTAGAAAACTGAAACTGAAAATAGTTGACACTCACAAAGCTGGAGAAGGCTATAAGACGATAGCAAAGCATTTTCAGATGTCAATATCCTCTGTTCGGAATGTAATTAAGAAATGGCAGTCATCAGGAACTGTGGAAGTTAAAGCAAGATCTGGAAGACCAAGAAAAATATCAGACAGAACAGCTCGCAGGATTGTGAGAAAAACAATTCAAAACCCAGGTTTGACTGCACGATCCCTCCAGAAAGATCTGGCAGACACTGGAATTGTGGTACACTATTCCACTATAAAGAGATACTTGTACAAATATGGTCTTCATGGAAGAGTCATCAGAAGAAAAACCTCTTCTACGTCCTCACCACAAAAATCATCGTTTGAACTTTGCAAATGAACATATAGACAAGCCTGATGCATTTTAGAAACAAGTTCTGTGGACCGATGAGGTTAAAATTGAACTTTTTGGCCGGAATGAGCAAAGGTACGTTTGGAGAAGAAGGGGCACAGAATTTAATGAAAAGAACCTCTGTCCAACTGTTAAGCATGGGGTTGGATCAATCATGCTTTGGGGTTGTGTTGCAGCCAGTGGCACAGGGAACATCTAACGAGTAGAAGGAAAAATGGATTCAATAAAATTTCAGCAAATTTTGGATGGTAACTTGATGCCATCTGTGAAAAAGCTGAAGTTAAAGAGAGGATGGCTTCTACAAATGGATAATGATCCTAAACACACCTCGAAATCCACGGGGGATTACATCAAGAGGCGTAAACTGAAGGTTTTGCCATGACCTTCACAATCTCCTGACCTCAACATAATTGAAAATCTATGGATAGACCTTAAAGAGCAGTGCGTGACAGACAGCCCAGAAATCTCAAAGAACTGGAAGACTTTTGTAAGGAAGAATGGGCAAAGATACCTCAAACAAGAATTGAAAGACTCTTGGCAGGCTACAAAAAGCATTTACAAGCTGTGATACTTGCCAAAGGGGGCAGTACAAGATATTAACTCTGCAGGGTGCCCAAACTTTTGCAGATGCCATTTTTTTTGTTTTCTGTTATTTTGAAAGTATAAATGATGGAAATAAAATCTAACTTTTGTTAACATATTATAAGAATGTCTAATCTGTAATTTGATGCCTTTTGGAGATTTTTCCATCTTTCCTTGGCTTCTTTATGAACATTAATACAAATTTTTTAGCTGGGGTGCCCAAACTTTCGATCCCCACTGTATATTCGGCCTCTCAGTGGTTCGGCCTTGACGCTGTGAGGCTGCATATATGTGTACCAAAATGTAAACAAACCTGTGCAGAGATCATGCACTCCCAGCACAGTTACCGGCGCCTAATGGAAAGTTCTCGATCGCTACTTGCGATTGGGGACTTTCTGATCATGGGACAGCTGTGACAGCTAATCACAACGATCACATGATCATAAACCATATACACTAGGCTATACCAGTATTAAAGTGAAACTTTACTCACCTTTCCCCAGTGCTGCAGTGTCCTGGAGCGCCCGTCTGGCTGCTGACATGTTGACATAGTCGGCTTATAGATACTTATATTTGGCCATTTTCATTGGCCTGATCAAGGTGACGTCACTCCTGCGCACGCAAATTTGTCCATCTCAGCACTGCTGAAATTATACCCTGAGCTACACATACAAGACATACAGGCAGGTAAAGAACTTTAAGGCAGAAGAGACTCCTTTTTTTTTATTACTATTCAACATAAAAGTGTCATTAAACCCACATCATTAAAAAAAAACTATCAATACATGCTGTATTACACTCTGTTCATACTCAGTCACTATGGAATTCATTTTCTGTATTCTGCAAAAACCTGGTTGATCCTGCTGTTCTCTGTCTGTAACTTCTGTTCATGTCCCCACTGCAGCTGGGGATTTTGCAAAGCAGTGTTGGCAGCTAGGGCACATGCTCAGTCCTCAGTGTATTTTCTATTCTGAGCATTTCTTTCCTATCACATCTGAGTAGCCCATGTGACTACATAGAGTAACACATATGGGCATGTAAACAATGGTGGTGGTGGGATATTACATCTTGATTGATGGAGGCTTTTCCTCCCTGTAATTTTAAGACACAGGCTGGAGGGGTGTGACACAGCCTGTGACTGGCAGAAATCCACTCATGGTATTGCCAAAAATAATAGACATCTGATTTCAAATATACACTATATTGCCAAAAGTATTGGGACACCCCTCCAGATCATTGGATTCAGGTGTTCCAATCACCTCCATGGCCACAGGTGTTTAAAATTAAGCACCTAGGCATGCAGACTGCTTCTACAAACATTTGTGAAAGAATGGGTCATTCTCAGAAGGTCAGTGAATTCAAGTGTGGCACCCTGATTGGTTGTCACCTGTGCAATAAGTCCATCCACGAAATTTGCTTGCTACTAAATATTCCATGGTCAACTGTAAAAAGTGGAAGCAACTGGGAACAACAGCAACTTAGCCACGAGGTGGTAGACCACGTAAAATGAGAGAGTGGAGTCAGCACATGCTGAAGTGCGCAGAAGTTGCCAACTGTCTGCAGAGTCAATAAAGACCTCCAAACTTCATGTGGCCTTCAGATTAGCACAACAACAGTGTAGAGAGCTTCATGGAATGGGCTTCCATGGCCGAGCAGCTACATCCAAGCCTTACATCACCAAGTGCAATGCAAAGCGTCGCATATAGTGGTGTAAAGCACGCCATCACTGGACTCTAGAGAAGTGGAGACGTGTTCCCTGGAATGATAAATCACGCTTCTCTGTCTGGCAATCAGATGGAGGTGACTGGGTTTGGCGTTTGCCAGGAGAACTTGCTTGACTGCATTGTGAAAATGTAAAGTTTGGTGGAGGGGGGATTATGGTGTGGGGTTGTTTTGCAGGGGTTGGGCTTGGCCCTTAGTTTTAGTGAGTGAGAGTCCTGCCCTCAACCCGATAGAAAACCTTTGGGATGAATTAGAGCGGAGACTGTGAGCCAGGCCTTCTCGTCCGAAATCAGTGCCTGACCTCACAAATGCACTTCTGGAGGAATGGTCAAACATTCCCATAGACACACTCCTAAACTTTGTGGACAACCTTCCCAGAAGAGTTGAAGCTGTTATAGCATATATTGAATCCTATGGACTAAGACTGGGATGCCAATAAAGTTCATGTGAGTGTAAAGGCAAGCGTCCCAATACTTTTGGCAATAGAGTGTTTATTTGGTTGGCAAAATAAAACAGATTATTCATGTTAATCATTCATTTTTATTCTGTATCGGGAAAATTGTTTATTTTTTAATTTTGAACATGTGACCAGCAGCAGAGGACTAGATGCTTCTCCTCAATTGTCATGTGACAATTGTATATCGATTAGAAAAGAAATACTTGGATTTTTTTTTAATTAAAATAATTATAGTGCCACCATCCACATACAGACAGATAATGCAAATTAAACAGTGTGTGTTTCGTATCACTTTAAAGGGTAACTCTACTTTTGTTAAAAACAAATTAGAAAATGAAAAAAAAATAATACAGCGTATACAATTGCAACACAAGTCATGTTGAAATTGTTATTAAAATGTAATTTCCTTTTTAACCACAGTACTGTCATTTTCTGTAAAATGCAATGCAGTATGGCTACTTGGAGGTTTTCTTTACACAGATAGTGTACAGAACGCCCCCCTCCCCCTAACTTCCTGTGTGTATAATTGGCTTACTGAATTTCTCAAAATTCTGCACTAAGATAAGTCAAATTTTGGGCATCCCCTGCAACAAAAATTTCATTTTTGGTGAGATACTTTCAAAGGAAATCATGTCTAAAGCGATGCAGACCCTGCAGATTTCCTAATTTGAGCCCTGCAGGTGCAGCAGCTGATAGATAATTATGAAACTACTCCCATACATATTTACTCTGCACATGGACACAGACAAACAAACACCTACTCCTTCAGAATAACAAAAGGTAGGAATCTGCAACAAAGCTTGTTAAAATCCTTGCGATGTACATAGATCATCCAGAGGGGAATGTTTTTTTCTCAGTAAACGTTTAGTTACTGTATTCTTTAACCTCCCTGGTGGTTTTCCCGAGTGTAGCTCGGGGTAAAATTTCTATACCACAAGCGGTAACCCCGAGCTACACTCGGGCTTACCATGCGGCGCTACTCTGGGGGTCCCTGCAGCACTTACCTTGTCCTTCGTTCCCACGATGTGTCCCCTGCAGCGTCCCCGGCATCCGGCTTCTGTGTTCCGGTCCCCGTGACTTCGGGATGTACCGGCGCCGGCGGCGGCGGCGGGAAATTTAAAAAATTTTAAAAATGTCATTTTTTTTTTTTTCAATTTTAAATAGTAAAACATTGCTGTTTCATCCCATTTCACATACATATTGTCCCTAGTGCTTTGTCCTGTGCCCTGCCTGCATTTTGTCTGTTCTTTCTGCCTGGAAACTTAGAAAAGTCCATGGCGTCCAAAAAGCGTCCCTTTACGTCAAAAGCAGTTTTAGACCGGCTAGAGAACAGCGATAGTAAATCAGAACCACTTACAGAATTGAGTGATGATTTGTGGGGAAATTTTCCTAAAAATTACAGCCTACAATAAAAAACTATTTCCATGCGAAAAAATGGTACCGCTTTCAGCACAAAAAATCAGAAGGAGGTTAAGTAATTTTATATTCTATCACTATTACTGATTCCATTTACTGTATTTATTGCTTGGTCACCATATACAGGAGAAAGAGAAAAGGGGATGTTCGCTATTTAATGTGTTTATATTTCTCACGAAATGTGCCTTCACATAGTTGGTAGACCTAAAATTCTTCCTATAGAATCTACATTTTTTTCCCCAAAAAAGTATCAGTGCCATTGTTCTGAACTCCAGTAAGATATAAAAAGAAATATCCAGATGTGTATTTGTGAAAAGTCATAAATTGTACTTTTAAATGTAACTGGTGGAAGTAGCTGAATTTGCCTTCATGCTCATTCCCCACAGTTATTACCTTTTCTATAAATTGACCATCCCTCTTAGATTGTAAGCTCTAATGAGCAGGTTCCTCTGTTTCCTACTGTATTATTATTGTGATTACATATATAGTGACCTCAATTTACACAGCTCTTTACATATATATTGTACATTCACATCAGTCCTTAATCCTCAAGGGGTGTACAATCTAAGGTCCCTAACTTATATTCATACACACACATACTAGGGCCAATTTAAACAGGAGCCAATGAACCCACCAGCATGTCTTTGGAGTGCAAAAGGAAACTAGAGTACCTGGAGGAAACCCTCGCAGGCACAGGGAGAACATGCAAACTCCAGGCAGGTGGTGCCGTAGTTGGGATTCAAACCAGCAACCCTAGTACTGCCAGACGGAAGTATTAGATTGTATTGTAATTGTACTGTCTGCCCTAAAGTTGTAAAGCTGTTGATGCTACTGTATATCAGTCCTGTATAATATAATAATACCAGCTTGCTGTTATTCCCTGTGCAGCAGCCGGCATTAGAAGCCAGTCAGGCCCCATGGCAACACGTGTTGGCAGCGAACATACTGACCGGTTGAGAAAGCAGAGTCAGCAGAGTGCTGACCAGTCACTGTACTGGTGTTTTATCACTGTGGGGAAGTGGTGCATTAAGTCCCCCCTATATATTTTTTTAATACAATTATTTGAAAAAAAAATGAATACATTTTACAGGTATACAAAACAAACATAAAGAAAATGAGTAGGCGATGTTTACACTGATGTTACATAGACGTATACCACTCAAGTACTGACATAGCAATGCCATATAGCAGGGGTCTCCAAACTACGGCCCTCCAGGTGTTGAGGAACTGCAAGTCCCATGAGTCCTTGCAAGACTCTGACAGCCAAAGGCAAGGCTCCCAGAGGCAGAGGCATGGTGGGACTTGTAGTACTTCAACAGCTGGAGGGCCACAGTTTGGAGACCCCTGCCATATAGGGCAGAAGTAGAACAAGGGAATGGCGACACCGTTTACATATCTAATAAGTGATTGGTGAATGAACTGCCACAGCTGTAATCAGTTGTCTGGAACCTGGTACCTGGAATGATCTGCCAATGCAAAGGAAGAAGGCACTGCTGCTCTGATCCGCGCCAGCATGTGCTCCAGTCAGAGGAAGTGACGTGGTAGCCAGAAGTCCCCCGCCCCTACACGTTTCATCACATCTAGGACATCATCAGGAGCCGGGAAAGGTACAACATTTATGAGTGATATACTTTAAGCATTTTAAGGTTAATAAGTATTGGTGATAGGCTATGATGTTTTCCATGGTTCTTTTCTCCTGAGTTCCCTGTGGGTGTGCGAATGGAAAGTTCTTGGATGGTGACACCATACATGAGAGCAGCACTTTAAAGCTTTGGTGGTGCACCTTAGTGTACACGTAGGGGGTCAACTCTGGCAGGTGAGTGCAAACCCTGGTGGTGGCACAAATGGTGGATTGCTGTGGAGGAGTTCCATATTCATAAGAGCACTTTTATTTAAAGGCATCATCGCTTGTGTAGCAAAAAAGGCACACAGGCACCTTTGGAAATTTGCATTTTTGGCTGGATTATTTATACAATTTAATGTTTTTTTTTTTTTATATGGCATTTTTAATTGTTTTATATTCATGAGATTTATGATTGTTCTGTGGATATATAGATATTTGTTTTCATTTTATTTGTATTTTTTAACTATATCTTTTCCACTACAGTGTTGCTAGGGTAAGCACAGCTCTCTCAAATATTAATTCATCTGGTCATCATTGTCTGAGAAAAGTTTGAAGGTGCCTGGCACATAGATAGTTATTCCAAGAGCTCCAGACAGCTAGCAATGGATTAGTCAATGGATGAGTGGTGATGGTAGTGGTGTTAGGATCAAAGCCAGGGAAAGGACAGGGTTTAGTAAAGGTTTGGTCAGAAGTCTTGGCCCTGTGCACAGTGGGTGTGGATCTAGAAGCAATTCAGAAGATTTGCTAACTTGATTTTAGGACATGACTGGTTCACTTTAAGCAAAAATACACAATTTTTAAACCTCACTTTCTCATAAACTGTCATGACATTTTACTGTATCTATCCTACTAAAGTTAAGGAAAGAGATTTTTCTGGAGAGAAAGGTAGACGCTGTCACTGCTGACTTCTCATTCTGCAAATGTTAAATGCCTGGTTGTCATGCCACCTCTTGTCAATTAATATTCAATGTATAAGGCTGTGCCTCTTCTCAGTATTTAAACTTTGAAGTGTCAAATCCAATTTTGTCTTGTTCATAGTATTATTATTCACAGTGCATTGTATTCAGTTACATACATAGTCACCAATAGTTAATACCCTCAAGGTGCACAATAGCACAGCTGCCAATGGCAAATGGTAGCAAAGTACTGTGCATTATAAAAATAGAAAAATTCAACTCAATTTCAGAAATGCATATGAATAAATAAAAAAATATGCAGATTACGCAATTGTCTATCCTGCAACAAATGAGTCATTTCACATAAAAAGAAAGCAGTTTTTGAAATTTATTTTATTAAACACTACAATATTTAGGGAGTCATTTTCTGTTTTCTTTACACTATGGGCTCAATCCAGAAAGCTAACATACACAGGATAAGTATCTCTATATTCAAAAAAGGTATAATCAGTTGAGTCCAGTAAAATGTGTACATTTGAACCCCCCTGGTTGAAAATAGAGATCCTCAAGCTGGCAATACATGACTTAAAGCAGAACTTTACTCATAACAACTTGATAAAAAATAATGTTCTTTATGTGTAACATAAATTCCACATTAATAATTATGCTACCAAAATTAGTGTGTGCTGTAAATTGCCTCCAGCATTGTTCCTGATTCTTCTTGCTGGAGGCTACAATTTTGTAGAAGCCCTGAGCAGCAGTTAAGCAGAACTAAACCCTCCTATCTTTTACAGCCAAGGAAGCTGCCATCTGCCATGGTGCTGCACATATGATCAGTTACAACACCAGTCATTTGATGGTTTGGCAGTTTGATGGTGTGGCAGTTAACTGTTTTTTGAAACAATGGCCTCTACAAATCTGGTACAATGCCTAAAAATGGAGAGCAACTGAGCTTGTATTTTAAAAAGTACAGACACTTATTTTTAATGTTCTACATAGCTGTACCTGCAAAGAGGGCCAGCATGACGTCATCTAGCAGGACTTTATTTTCTGACTAAAGTTCCACTTAGAATTTTGATCATGGGTAACCTTGTCAGTGCCACCCACCTCAATAAATTTCAACAAAAAATTTGAAGGAACCAGGTGGAAAATTGTTGGCTGAACAGTGACTGCATGCAGCTACTGTTCGGGTATTCAGCTGCAGCACCCGCTAGCTAGCAGTGCAGATTCCTCCACCCATGATTGTTTAGCAGGGATGAATGAATCTACAGTGGCTTTGGCTTACAGTGTGAATTCGCTCTTAGGCCTATGTTAACTTTTTGTGAGTTGAGTCTTATGTACCTATAAATGAAATAGTTTTTTGTTTGTTTATGTAATTGAGCAAAGTGCACTATAGAGGATAATAATATGAACATACAGTAAGATGCTCTTTGGCTCTTTTGGACACAATCCAAGAGGATCATCATATAACAGCCAGGCAAACATGATTTTCAGATTGAGTTCAGCAATGACAGCTCCTTTTTCTTTTCAGTGCAAGTGTAGCGTCTGCCGCCTCCGCCTGTCCTCCGCTTGACAGCATCGGGGCTCCCCCCCCCCCCGCCCAAGCTGCAGCCAACCACACAGAGGGAGAGAGAGCTGCCTGTCATGCAGGGGAACAGAGCAGCGCTTACTAGGATCACTGCCTGCTCTGTCCCCTCTATGTTGGCCACAGCAGGGGGGCAATCACAGAAGAGCAAGGGAGGATCATGTAGTCCCAGAAGAAATGCCATCTATTGGATTTAATGAGGCATGGACTACAGCCCCCAGCATACCCCAGCAGAAGAGGAGGAGAGGGCTGGGAGCCCAGGAAAAAAGAAAAGGAGGGGCTGGCAAGTGACAGGAGAGGAGAGAGACCCATGAGAGCAAGAGAGCCTGGTTGCCATATGACCAGGGAGAGTGGAAGAGAACCATCCCCCCCCCCCCAGCACTACCAGAGAGAGGGAGAAGAAAGGCTGTGCATGGGAACACCATCAGGGCCAGGAACCAAGCCCCTGGAGTCCTCTTTTACTGTGCACCTGAGTAGAGAGAGGGCAATGCTGCCCAAAAAGCCACCATAAAGAGAGAGCATAGACCGAGTCACCGCCAAGCTACAGACAAGCTACACCGTGAACCAGAGTAACCAAGTGTGAACGTTCATCCATGCTGGTGGGATCCCCACTGCCGTTTCGCTGAATCTGGTGAGAGGGTCTGTTGGTCATTGTCCATACTGTTCCTAGGGACTGAGACTTTAGGAACTGCCGCTCTGCCATACTTTAGCGCTAATACTGCCTGCAGACTC